CAAGAAAGGATGGCTGCTGGAGGCCTTTATTACTCTGAGCCCCTTTCAGTCCATTTGAGTACCAGATGGTGAGAAGATTAAGATTGACCCTGTATCATTTTCTTATTGAACCTGTTTGCAATTAATTGATTTTGTCCTATACATGCTTTTGTCTTGAAACTGCTTAGGTCGTGGTTCTTTGTCTCTGAACTTATTCAGAGTTCAACTGACCTATAATGGGTTAAGTTTAAAAATCCAGCTCCCCTGCTTAGGGAATGTGAATAGAAAGGGAGTCAGGCCTGATGGCTTTACTCCACCAAGCTCTCCTTCAAGGATGTCTGTTTTGCTCTCCAAAAGTCAAGGCTGCTATCTCACACCTGGACTCAAACAATGAGAATTCCACAGTCTCATGAGAGAAGAAGGCGGAGGTAGTTGCTAGCTCCCATTACCAAACTTCCAACCAATCATGTTGTTCCCTGCATCTCAGCTCTATAACCAGTCATGTTGTCCTTAACTCCATGAAGTCAGCTACTCTGTTCTATTCTTTGTTCTGTGTTCCCCAAACTTACATAAGGGGAATGATCTTCTTGCTTGGGGTCTTTGGCATAAATGGAAACAATCCATTGACCCATTTAGTGACAGGTAGCACGCCCCTGCTAATAAATGTTATCTTGCTCAGAGATCTGCCTGAGTTTACCCTTTTATTAAAACTCAATCGCAGCAGAGGGAAAGAAGCAATTCAATGAAGTGGGGAGAAGGTTGGCCTGGGAATCATTCCAGTCCTTGCTCTGGTATCCCTCTTCCAAACTTCTGTGTTTCTACCCAGTACATCACCACCCTTACAGTCACCCTGGTTTGCAACCTCAGAGTTATCAATTCATCCCTCCTCCACATCCCCTATATCCATTCAGTTGTTAAATCCTATGAAGTCTATCTTCACAACATCTCTCCATTCAAACAGCTACCACTTTACTGTTTGCCTATAGTCTTCTCCCATTAAAGAGTAAGATCCTTGAGAGCAGGGACTGCCTCTGCAATGACACCAATGTGGAATGTTATGGATTTCTCTAATGCCTGGGCTCAGTCAATTCAGTCCACTGTCTGTGTGTCCCTTCTGTCTGTCCATATCACAGCAGCCTTTTTGCTTTTTTTTTTGAATGCATGGAAATTAGCATAG